AGATGAGAGTGGAGGCATGCTTTGGTTGTATTTCACACTCTAGAGTGACTGACATGTATTTGCTATTCGCAGACTCACTATTCTTATAAAAATATAATAGTCTATCCCTTAGATCGCTTGCTCACTCAAAATATCAATTGAAATAATAATCGTCAACATCAGCAATCAATCCATCGATTTGAGCCCAACCACCTTTCTTCAGACCTTTTCGGATGTGTCGATCTTAGGTGACCCCTGCCTTGTATTCCAGAAACCAAGTTGTTAAATTCATTGGGTGATTAGCCTTGTAGACCCTCACCAGGCAACGGAGAGAAAGTGAAGATTTTCCTCCTGGGTGCACCTGTTTGCTCGGCCATTGTTGTACCAGTTTCTTGGGGAAGTGGTGGCCAACAATCTTGAAATTATTCAAAAATGATATTTTCCAAAAATGAACCGCTCATCTTTTAATGATACCACCTGGTCATGAAAAGTTGGTACAATTTTGTTGCGTATAAAAATAGATATTTCGAAATGAAATTTAAGAATATACATCTCTCCCAACTCACCTACACAGCAGGTTTTGGTAAATGCCTACCGAATAACAACTATTTTCCTGGCTAATATCATGCCGGATATTGAATATTATCCGACAGATATTTATGCAAGATACCTCACAGATGTTAGTCTAGTCGATGTTTCTCATTCATCCTGCAGCAGGACCATACTGCGTAGATCACCGACGGACCGGTTTAGAGGTGTTACCTTTTGTCAGTGCAAAAAAGGTCCAGCCCAAACAACAGTGTATCTGGTACTTGATCAATTTCAACTACGGCTCAACTGCATGTATGAAACCTTCGTATAAGAGAAATATTGTTAACTAGTAACAGTTGGTATACAATATGCAATGTTATTTCCAGAATAAATTGACTATCTCGATGGAGTTGATTCTCTTGAACGAAGGGTATGATATCGAATCCAAATTGAAAAGCAAATAAATCAAATATAGTTTTATTGATTATCTATGAGTACAGTTCATTATTTTCCTAGACAGTCATCTAAAATTCGAATGTATTATCATTTTTTTTCTAATTGAAAACATTCAGAAAGTTTAGTTTTCACGTGAGGTACTCAAAATAATGAAGAACTGCTCTTCGCAAACAACATACATAGTGTAACATAAGTACGTTAAAATATTCAAGTGACGTATTCCTGAGACAATTTTAAGAAAAAAAATCTATATGAACTTGTGTCCGAAAATGCTTCGTTTAGGAGATCCTGGGTGTTGAAATTGAATTTTTTGTTCGCTTTTTGAAAGTAACTCTTGCAAAATTCAGTACCCGGGGTTTTTTTGACGTGGGAAATCATAATTTCGTATTAATCTTCATGTAAAATATAGAGGGCGCTGCATACGCTGTCATTATTTATTTCAAATTGCCCTAACTTTTTTGACAGTAAACTTTTGATACTTTTCATGAAAAAACCTAATTCCCACAATTTTTCCAAGTAAAAAAGGTACACCTCCTCAACAACGCTGAAGGTGATCGTTTTCGAGATATTTACAATTTTCTATATCGATGCATATTACTTTATAGCCAAATTTGATTTTAATAATTTTTGTCAGTCTTCACTTGCAAATTCAGTTAATTGAATCGAGTAGGCTATGAAAGTTTGTTTATGAAAATAGAAGTTTGCTGTCACATTTTTAACTATTAATTGACAAATTCACAGTTCCAAATTCATAAAGTGATTTTTGGGTACCATGCCCGACTTTACGAATGCTGAATATATGGTTTTTGCATACGGCTTGGCTAACGGAAATTCAAGCGAGGCCAGACGCATCTATCAGGAAAGGTATCCCCAAAGCGTGACTTCTTGTGCAGCGACATTTGCAAATCTTTTCCGGCGACTTTCCGAATATGGAAGCTTTGAAACAAATTCTGCAGTAGTACGGCCACGGACTACAAGAACTGTAGAATAGGAGAAGGCGGTTCTTGAAAAAATTAGTGAACATCCAGAGACAGGTACAAGTAAAAGTAACATTATATCCTTATCATATTCAGCGTGTCCAGGCACTTACACTACGTGAGTTCCAACCACGTATCGAATTTGCTCACTGGCATCAAAGAAAAGTCGAACAACATCCGCAAATTTTATCGAAAATCCTCTTCACAGATGAGGCTAATTTTTCAAGAAATGGCATCATGAACTTCCATAACAACCACATCTGGGCGGAAGATAACCCACATGCGATAACGCAAACTCATTTCCAAGACATATTCTCTTTTAATGTATGGGTAGGCATAATTGGGGATTATTTAATAGGGCCCTATTTTCTCCTCTTACGTTTTAATGGAGATGCTTATCTACATTTTTTGGAACACAAGCTTCCCCAACTTATGGAAGATGTACCCATTGGTCTCCGAAATCACTCTTGGTTTATGCACGATGGAGCTCCTGCTCATTTCAGTGTGATAGCAAGACATTATTTAGACGTAGTATATCCCCAACGATGGATAGGAAAAGGAGGCGGCACTGAGCATTGGCCCCCGAAGTCACCGGACCCCAATCTCGTCGATTTTTTCTTTTGGGGACACCTAAAATCACTAGTTTATGCTAGCCCCATTGAAAACGAAGAAGTGTTGAGGGATCGCATTATAGATTGCTGCGAAACGATAAGAAACACTATTTTTCAACGGGTGTGGAATTTTTTGATGAGGAGAACTGAAGCTTATTGGGGGTCGTCACCTTGAACAATTGTTGTAATAGTTATTGTTTCGTTCAATTTTTATATTAAAATTATAAATAATTTTCGAATTATTAAAGTAGTTATCCAAGTCGAATGAGAGCATTCATAGGATAGGAATTTTAAGTGAATTGATTTAAAATGTGAACGTGAATCTGTTGATCTTATTCATATCATTATTATTTTTTTTTAGCCACATATTTTAATATGTGCAGGAAATCCATTTACTCGTAAGTCACTATATAACTGACTGTGACTGACAAATTTTGAAACTATGACGTTGAAACGCTAGTAACAGACATTGAAATGAAATTGATAACTGTAGACTCTGGAGCCTTCTTTATAACTTAATTTTTTGAGTTCCTCATGTGAAAATCAAAACCACTTTTGTTTTACAGTTCCGAAAGCCTAATAACTATATTTCTTTTGAATTTTCATAATTTATTAATTCAAGACATAATATTACGTTTTACCGATGATAGATACAATAATGTCTGATTGCAGACTACTATCAAGAATATCATGATTCTTTTTGGCATATTTTTGATACATATCTCCGTGACGAGATGCGTTTTCGAAACTAATTCATAGCGCAGCTTGTTAACAGACTTTTCTCATAAACCACACCATACTTCGACAACACTGATGAATCATTGACCACATAAAGCTAGTTGTGTATCTATGGGGTTAGGGAAGGGTATTATTTTTTCTTTCGAATAGATCGATTAAGGAGAGAAAATGTTCATTCACTGCAATGTTTTTAGAGCCCTTCTGGGAGTATAATGAAATATATTTTATGTTAATGTGTAATTAGTTATGTATGGGAAAGAAAGGTTTCAGCTTTCTATTCCTCCATCTTGATACAAACATCATCTTCAACGGACAAGATATTCCGTGGACCAACGAAGCTAGATACTTGGGAGTCAACCTAGACAAAAGATTAACGTTCAGCTCTCACGTACGGCAGAGAATGGGAATGGCGAGATCTGCCCGACAAAACCTATTAGCAATAATAGGTCGAAGAAGCAATATGGGATTGAAAGTGAAACTGCTGATGATAAAGACCGCAATTTTACCAATAATCATGTATGCCTGCACAGTCGTTTATGAACGCGTCCGTAAGAGCTGCCGTAAACACTCCAAGATATGTACCGAATAGGTACATATTCCGGGATCTAGACCTGAACATACACCACGTAGACGCATACATGAGAAAACACGCAGAGGACACGTTTGACAGAATTCGAGCGCCTGCCAATTTAGCGCTGAGCGATCTACATAACGCACTGAACAGGGATAACTCCAGATTCCGAGAGAGGGACAAACACAGGAGGCCAACGAAGCAGAACCAAAGACCACCCCCCCGAGAGTCGCTGTCAGGCGGCTCCGGTAAGTATAATTTTCTAACAGATATCTAACACTTCCTTTTCAGGTCCAACGAGAAGCTCTCGACCGTGATCTCTTTTAAACAATAGTTTCCGGTTAGTTTTTGGGAACCCCATGCAAAAATTCAGTTAGGAAAGTCAAGATAAAACAATACAACAGATCAGAAAGTAAAATCATCTAGAGGCTAACTTTCGATCAAAGAAGGTCAGATGTCAATCTTGTTGAAGTGCCCATCAGTAAGTTTTGGTTCGCTTCGGAGGAGCGGGGGTGGATGGACGAGATGGGGTGTTCTGCACACATTAACCATGTGGAGAAGATTTCACCTCAGGGCTCTCAACTCGGGAGGGATGACGTTGTTCCATGTAAGTGAAATGTTACCTGTTTCATTCACAATGGTAATATATGATTCAATTCCATAACGAATGTTTGGAATACAACTAAAAAAAAACAACAATATTAATGAAACGAAACAAAAATGCATATATTTAAAATTTAGTAACATGATGTTAGTTACCATAAATTTTTCGTGGATTGTTAAAATGAGTTATTTTTCAATATGGAAAGTAAAACTTTTATTATTTATTGTTGATATTGATATATGCTCATTGTGAATTAAGGAAAATTTGATACAGTTTATGAAGAAATATAACTAAGGTGTCACCTGAACCTGGAGCATGCACCTCTCATGAATATTAATCATATAAATAAAGTTCAGACGTCCTTTGTTAGTGATTGTTATTTTCGATCATCTGTCATTTTCATATTTGTTTGTTGATTGAATATTAATATAAATAATCGTTTCTCTTGTGTATTGGTCTTAGGAATGATTCAGATGTTTCAACGTTCATTTTCTTCGTTTGCAAAATGATTCAGTCCAAAGAGTAAGAGTGCATTTAGGGTAAAAAACAACAAAAAGGACATTCTTTATTGTAGGTGAATATTCATGTTATTTCAATTACTTGATTATTTCAATAATTATAAAAGTAACGAGTTGAATAATATGGGAAGAAATATAGGTTAGCCCTTCCTCTCTGTTTCATTACTATTTCCGACGATATTGTAAAATTTTCGAATTTTTCTATATACCGTCGACATTCAGTAGTTCTCAAGCTGAGAATTTTGAAATCAGGAACAAAAGTATACTTCTGTGAAGCAGACATTTTCAATTTTCCACCGGAAATGAACTCAAGTCAAGAATAATAAACAGAACCTTGTTACCTTTTTGAAATATAAAATTCCTCTTTCAACGATGTAAGTGACCATTTCGTCTCAATACGGTAGTACGAAAAAATTGTGAAATAACTTGATATAGTTGGGAACAAACGACGATGTTCGTCGCTAAGTTTTGAATGAGAATTCAAGACTTTTCATCAATTCCCGCACTGTTGCTTCTTATTTTCATTATTTTACATGCTACTTTTCAGTTCACTCATCTCGAGGATTCTAATAGAAAGTGGAAATTTTTGAATTTTATCATTGAGGTTAACCTATTTTACTACAAAAAAAATGTGAAAGATACTATGAGTTTTATTTTTCTGTGCCCGTGAAATAGTGAAAGTTTCGAAGTTGATATATCTATTTCCATAGATTACTTCTCAGTGCCACCATATCGACAGAGGGCTCAATCCTCGAATATCAAAGATGAACGAGACTACCCCAAGATGATTAGTTGCGAAGCGAACCGCTCTTCGACGGTCATGTCGAGGCTTGGCTTTGCAGCGCTGTAAGTGTTTGGGCTTTGGTTCTCAACCTTGTGTTATATTGTTGAAAACACCTTATCAAATTGTTTAACAACTTTTACACGGTTCTATTTAAATTTTTTGACTTGGGTTCATTTCCGGTTGAACCAAAATAGGTTTTCAATTGTTTTCACATAAGAAATTTTGGTTTTAATGAACTTAACCTTCAAATTTCTCACCCTAGAAACAACTGGATGGCGCCGTATGAAATTATCTGATTGTCTTCCGGGATAGTTTTCAAAATTGAGTAAACAGGTTGAAGTTGGTACATACTGGTTCTACAACGCTACATAAAAAGAAATATTTCTTGTAACGATAATAATTGTCCCACGTCCCACTAAATCAAAATTATTGTTGTCAAAGCATCCTATGAATGTTAATTTTAACCTCATCCGATACAACTAGTTCTCATTTGAAGTGTATGACTTCTATTCATAAACTTTCCATCATTGTTCATTACGTACTATTCTCATCATTCTACGGTTTACCATTTCTGGAATTGAACATCGTTTAAGACCACTCGCAAATATAAAACAGCCAGTATCCTACGTTGAACACAAAGAAAGTTACAGGAAAAATGATTCTCGAATATTTGTCGATGACGTTGACATCTTTGATTTTGGGTATAGAGGCTTTTAGGACTAGAGCTCCTTTCCGGATAGCATGGAAAACCTTGGGCCTGTGAATTGTATTTCCTAAAATAAAAAATTATTATTATTCACGGTGTTTTATAGTTGGGAAAAGAGTAGGAAGAAATACATATGAAATATTTACAGCTTGTCAAATCTAGGAAGATACTTGAGAACCCTTTCTCTCTCTCTTCTTTTTCTCTCTCACCGTCACTGTCTTCTAACGAACGCAGATCTAGTGGGCGGGGCCATAACGGAATTCAGAAAGTTCTTCCTACAGAACCTGGCATCGCTTTGGGCTTTGCCTAACAAAGATTGAACACCTGGATGGCAAAAAGATTGATGGCAGAATCTTTCAGGATTGGTTCTCTACAAGGCATTTATTCACCCTTCGAAGCTTGATACCGAACAGTTGTTGGACTACAGTAGGGATGAACTACGATGTCTAACAAGCCTTCTTACAGGTCACTGTCATTTGAATCGTCATATGCAGAGACTCGACTGTCGGAAGACAGTGTGAGTCGTCTCTGTTTGGGAAATGAAGAAATAGCAGAGCATATACTTTATGCCTACTCAGCTGGGGACCGAATCAAGTTTTTAGAGTTCGTCAGAGCCGTACTCTTACCTTCTGACCTGAAAGACTTCATACAAACTAATCGACTTCGTTAAGTAGCTGGATTTATTTGGTCGAGTGTGAGCCACAATAAACCCATGCGGGTTGCAGTGGAGGGTCGAATAGACCCACTCACTTTGGATCTAACCTAACCTAACCTACATTCAACAAGATATGCGATGTGATGGACATGTATATGGAAAATAAGGAAGCAAAAATGGAAGAACGTCGAATTAAATATCTTGATGAATATCAAAAACATGAATAATACAGCGTGGGAGCAAGCAGTCCCTCCCCCTCTTGACTTTTGAACGGAACAAGATATCGAAGTCGGACAAAATTTGTGAGCATAGGAATTATTTTTAGTATAGCGAACGGCGAAGCACATTTCTATTTTTGGTTCGATTGAAAATTTATTTTTTATCGACATATGGGTATGAATCCAGACTATGTTATCTTAGTAACAGAGAGTATTGAGTTAGCTTGACAGCTGTAACTATTGATAGTGAGAATTAGCTTCATTTCATTCTGTTTAGTTTTCCGAAAATGGATCGCGCCAAATCTTTACTGAATGAAACAGAAGCAATTCTCATTTACGTCACAGCCGGCCCTGATTTTCATGGATAGAAACGGCATTCAATGCAAGATTTTCTGATAATCTCATCTGCCGAAAATATTTCAGGAAATTAGTTGAGAAATTTCAATCTGGAAGAAAATCTATTTTGGACGAAAAACAGAAAGAAATCATTGCATCTGTAATGAATAACCGCGTGCCATCCACAACAACAGCTGCTCTTGAGAATGATATTCAGCAACCATCGTCAAGAAATACCTAAGAAGACATATGTTGCACTCCTATAAACTGAAGATATTACGTGAATTGAATGAAGATGACCTGGAAGAAAGAATGCAGTTTTGATAGTTAATGTCCGAACGTTTGACTACAAATCGTATTTATTTTGGTGACGAATGCACTTTTTTCTTGAATAGAAATGTCAACCGGCAAAATGTGCGATATTGGTCAGATATAACTCCTGAGAAAATGAATGTCTGGATAGGAATATTGGAAATTCATACTGTTGGTCTTATATATTCAGAGAAAATCTGACTGGTGACTCATATTTGAAAATCCTTAATAACTAATTAATTCGAGGAATTGTGGACAACAATCAAGACGAATTAAAAATCCAGCAAGATGGTGCACCTCTACATTTTATTAGACATGTAAGAGATTGAATTTATCAGACATACCCAAACATGTGGATTTGTAAGCGCGGTCCATTAGAATGGCCTGCCTGTTTACCGGATTTAAATACTTTTGATTTTTTCCTATGGAGTTATACCAAATCAAAAGTTTATGTTACGTAACCTGATACAATACAGGGTCTAGTTGACAGAACTATCGAAACTTGTACTAGCATTACTCCAGAAACATTCCAAAATATTCGGAAATAGACTCTTTTACTATCAGGGGGATCTACGGGAACATTTTAAACATTTGCCCATATGATTTTTTCATGTATAAGATTAGACTAAAGACTAAAATGAAAAGCTATCATTTTATACCCTTGGAAATAATACTTACATATCGCAAAAATTATTACTGATTTATTTATCTTTCCAATGAACATTTACTTCAAAAAATCTGATATAGGGTGACGAAGTTACGAAAATTCTTGTTCCAAATTCAAACATTAAAAACTCTGCAACTGGTTATTGAAATTAAAAAAATTGAAGGTCATTGTATAGATAATTGAAGTGTCTTCCATACAAAATTTCACAGGCAAAGAAAATAATAGCGCCCTCTTGGCGACAAGTGATGTCACACTACTGACTTTTTTATCAAAAAGTACATGAAATGGTTTCTTCTCAAAAACATTTTCTTCGGATCTTATATCTTGCTTCGTTAGAAAGTTGAGAGTATATAGTGGGTTTAATTTATATCATACAATACGTCCGTATTGTATGATATAAATTACGTCCTGAATTACATAAATCAAGAATGAGGGTGTGATATAAACACTCACTGTAAGGTGCGATAAAGAATGAGAATTACATAGGAATGAAAATTGATATCAGAAAACGGTGGAAAATGCTTAACTCAGTACTATTTCAGTTTCTTCACTTCATAAATAGGTACCTTTATTTCCCCTGTATCTGAGACCCGGAGTAGCTCTATAATTGTAAGTATACCCTGACATCCTGGATATGCGAAAACTTGGAGGGAATTGCGATGAGTCTAGATCGCAAGTGTTCGATTTGGAGTTTTGTCTATTCCTTATCGATGCTATTGGACTCATTCTGACGTCCTGTAACTCGATAATTTCTTCATTGCTGAACGACGTTTGCCGATTATCTGATTTGGTCCCTGTGAAAATATGAAAAATATTGACAAAAATCGTAACATTACCTGAAAATATACTGACGATATTAAAGGAAAACAACCACCATACTATTGAATAGACAATGCTAACTAGAAGGAAATACCTTAAATTATATTATATTTATCTATGTCATAAATTTTGTTGATAAATTCAATATGATATACAGATCGAAACATCATTTCCTGACAATATGCGGTATTTAGATTCATACCGCTACTATGTCTTCGAAGAAAAATTATTGTGTTTCGAAAAAAAAAGACGCATGATGCCTTATTTTCGAGAACCCTAAGTGAATGGTAAGAAGAAAACCCAAACAGAGGAAAAATCTTTTATTCACAATGTAAATCAATGGGAGCATTCATACATCATACTTTCACTGTATGTTATTTTAACGGAAGTTTTATGGCTTAATACTTTTTCTTTAAGGTTTACACAAAGTTACTAACATTTTTCGACTGTTGGCGTCATTTCAAATCTTTAAAAAATTGTTTGAATGAAAACGTCTGATGTATGAATCAGTTTCAATTGTTCGTCTTGACATTAGTAATTTTCAAAAAAAGTTTATTCAATGCACATTTGAATAGTTATCATGAATTCACCTGATCATATTTTTGTTAACATATCAACGTGACTGACGAATTCGAAAAACTTTCCCAATACCAGAACCCCAAAAAGAAACTTGTTGATTCATGAGTCATATAAAAGAGAATTTCCTTCTTCTCTACTCATACATACATGTGTGATCTGTCGATTGTCTTAATTTTGTGTTAATAACCCATTCTACTTGATAATCGCTTATGCAAAATCTGTATCTGTATCTGTAGAGTAGGGAGGGTGAGTGTAAACCTACGCACTTAGGCCACATGTGACCCATTGTACATCCTCCCGAGGAGTTGTCCTCCTAGGTCATCGTCCATCCTGTCCTTTCCAGAAAGGTGGACAGGTCGCTGTGAGACATCTCCTTTATATCGGCAGGTGTAGGCCAAGACTCGCCGAACACACACTTTCTTATTGACGATATCTCCGGGCACTCGCACAGGACATGCCTGACAGTCTCATCTTCCTGTTCACACATCCTGCATAGAGGTGTGTTCACTAGCCCTATATTATGGAGGTGTTTCCTTAGTTGGCAGTGGCCAGTCGAAAATCCTACTGTAAGGCGTATATTTTTTCCTGGCCATCGCCAGATATTTCTTCGGCGCCAGCTTCCCAGGGTCGCCCAAGGTGATCCTGGCAAGATTACATACTATGATGTCATCCCATCTCTTCAAGAATTGAGCATGGATGTAACATTTGACTAGTTCCGCAGTTGTCGAAGTCATCAGGCCGTGGGTACCAGTGGGTCCTAAAATTCTTAGTCCAGCCGCTTCCTTGGCTAAAGAGTCGGCAATGCGATTACCATTACTCTTGTCGTGCCCTTTAACCCACCTCAGGATAATGTTATTATCTACCGAGGCTTTGGCTAAATCTTGGTGGCACTCTAGTACCAGTCCTGAGGTAACACGCTGTCTGTTCAAGGCTAATAGTGCTTGTCTGCTATCATTGCAGATCGTTATGTTTTTGCCAGAAATTCCTTTCTTGGTTATTTCTTTTGTGGCGATTGAGATACCAGCCAGTTCTGTTTGGACCACGCTGGTATTTTTTCCCATCCACCACTTAATCCTTAGGCTTAGTGATCTGGAGTACACTCCACATTCTGAGCCTTCTTTGGTTTTTGAGCCGTCTGTATAAATCCGTATTGTATTTGTAGCATCTGACTATGTGTTCTGCTTAATTTGTATTTTGTAGGGTTTATCAAACACAAACCTGGGTTCAATTGCATCACTTGTTGCCTGCAGCAGAGGTTGCGCAGTTAGCGCTTCCCGCCATAGGCCCAGCCTATGCCCCATTCCTAATTCCTACTTCCCATTGCCCCATTCCTACTTCAAGGTTTACACCAGCCATGCGCAATCGTACCATGGCCATTAACGCAACCTCCTTAACGTACAGATCCAGAGGGGTCAGACCCGTGATTAATTCCATTGCCGCGGTTGGTGTTGTTCTCATGGCTTCTGTGATATTTGAACAAGCCAGTCGCTGTATTTGATATAATTTTTGGATGGCCGTTGCTTGTAGAACTTTCGGTCCCCATGCAATGGCTCCATACGTTAACATAGGTCTTATTATTGCAGTGTAGATCCAGGTGACCACACGAGGTGAAAGACCCCATGCGCGTCCCACTGTTATTCGACATTGCTCATAAGCCACGTATGCTCTTTTTGCTCTACTCTGTAGATGAGAGTTCCATGTTAGCTTCTTGTCGAGAATAGTACCAAGGTGTTTCACCTCTTCAGAGAAGTTCAGTTTACTTTTGAAGATTTCGGGAGGTTTTTAGCCTGTTAAACTTCTTTTCCTGGTAAAAAGGACCATCTCAGTCTTCTTGGGATTGATCGAGCCCAATTTGAGCCCATCCTGCGCTCTATCGCACAGTGTGTTTACAAATTTGCCGGTCTGCAAGATAACTATGTCGTCTGCGTATGCAATTGTGTAGAATCCATCTTTGTTAAGGTGATTAATTAGGGTATCCAGAACTATGTTCCAGAGAAGGGGTGATAAGACCCCTCCCTGTGGACATCCCATCATGACCAGTCCATTCATTGTGATGTCTTCTACATTAATACTTATTGCTCTACTAGAGAGCATCTGGAGTATCCATTCTCCTACTACCAGGGGTACATTCCTGGAGTGTTGTTGCTGGGTAATTGTTGGAAAGGTTGTTTTATCGAACGCTCCCTCGATAACTATGAACATACCCAGGGTGGATTCTTTGTTGTCCAATGATCTCTCGATTCTGCCAACCACATGGTGCAGGGCCGAATCAGTAGACCTTCCTGGAGTATATGCATGCTGATTTGGATGAAGTGGGTTGTGAACAAGTACTTCATCTCTTATGTACCGCTCACATAGCCTCTCCATGGTTTTTAAGAAAAACGATGTGAGACTAATTGGTCGGAATGCTTTTGGTAGGGTGTAGTCCATCCTACCTGGTTTGGGTATAAATACTACTCTTACTTCTCTCCACTTACTGGGAATATACCTCGGAACTATAGAGGCTCCAAATATTCCAACCAGGTGCGGCATAAGAGTGTCCAGTCCCCACTGAAGTAGGATTGGTCTTATACCATCACGTAGCACAACTTGAAGGGGGAAAAGCACGATATAGCCCATCTTATTTTGTCCTCATCAATTACTGTACTAGCATATTGCCAGTCGTATTGTGAGGGTGTTGTTGGTACATCCGTCCAGTTCGTCGTTCCAGGAAAGACAGAACCTGGGAAGTGAGTTTCCATAAGAATCTCAGCACTCTCCTGGAGGTTGGCGGCTTTGTCGCCATTTTCTTTCGTCAGGATGCCGATACTCTTATGGTGGTCATTTGAGAGTGCCTTCTGTAGCCTAGAAGCTAGTGGGAAGTCTTCGACTGCCTCACAATAGGCTCTCTTTGCTTTCGTCTGCAGACTTTTTTGCCTTGTTAAAGGTCGTTCTCGCTGTCTTCCTGAGGTGTTCCAATTCAGGGCACCACCATGTGTTGGTTGTGCCATGTGTTTGAACCATCCCTATCGGACAGGATTCCTTATAGGCAATGTCTATTTTGTTGTGGATAGATACCGTTTACCTTTCCAGTTCTTCATTGTTGCCAGGAGTCAGGACCTCTGCTTATGCAAAATATTTTCCGAATACGACCATTTCGGTGAGTGATATAAACGAAAGGAACTGCATGCGCCATGTATACATTGTATTGAAAAGAAACCTGAATAAGTTAAATATGTCGAATTTAGTTTTAAAAGAGACACCATGTGTCAGTTCACTAAACAGAAAATTCACCTAATCAAATGTTCAAACTGAGTATCATTTTTTTCCCTCAATTTCTGAAGAATATCAGGTGTTAGTTGCCTTTGGCACCTGATAATAATTTTTCCAGTAAATTTTTTACGGTAGTCGACTGCGTCTCATAGACTTTCCATTCAAATGGGGGAATCTGGGTGGCCATTCTGTAGTAACTTTTTTTCTGGTCTATTGACCTGGAAAGTCATTATCGAGAAAGTGTCGTACTAGTATTACGCAATTAGAATGAGTTCCATCCTGTTGAAAAACTAGCCCATTTCACAATGAAGAATCTCACTGGATGGCGTTGTTTATGTTTGGCATAACTTGATTTCTCAGCAAATTGAAATATCCTTCAACATTAAGGTTTTCTTTTTGAGAGAATGGTCCTATAATATAGTTACCCGAAATTCCTGAACAAACATTAAGTTTTTGGGGATATTAGGTTTGAATTTGGCGTGCGATATTGGGATTTGAATCACGCCAGTATCGGAAATTTTGAAGATTTACTTGTCTATTCACCAAAAATGTACATTCATATGAAAAAAAAAATTGGTGTACAATAGAGCTGTATTACGGTTGACGCGTTCTGAGAGGGAGAAATTTGTATCGATGAAGTCAAAGGCTGCGTATTTTCCATCAAGGCAACGTGGCCTAAAACTGCAACTATAATGCCTTTGTAATTGACTATTCCTGAACGGTTGTGTGATCTGTAATTAACGCCACCAATTTTTTTTTACACGAGCAGTAGCCCTTGCAAATTCTCCATATTCCCACTATTTCAATCCACTCTTGAAGTGTACAAAAAATTTTGTTATGTAACAAAAGATAATGAACGAAATGATAATTCGAGTTCAAACATCGCAAAATAAAAAACTTCAATAATTAAACTAGGCTGACAATCTCTATTTCAGAATAATTTTGAACAAAGCATGTACAACTCCAACAGTAACTAGGTGTATTGTGTACAAAGCAATTCTCACTGAGTTTTTTCATTAGTACCATTCGATAGTGCTCAGTTCAAACATTTTAAATTGTGTATTCAGGTTGACATTCTAGTTTAGAATTGAATAAGAACTCAATTTTGTTCGCTTATCGTAGAAATATCACAAACGTTACAGGGTTGAATATAAAATTGAAGTATCTCTCAAATGAGGAGTCTCACTGTTATTAAACACGGGTGTTTGAACCTACGAGTATTCGCTTTCGTTTTGTCAATAACTTTTGAAGCGAGAAATAATAATGAAAATAATAATAAAAATAATTGGAGTCCTTGGTGGAATGATGTCCTCTATACTCTAGAATCTCAAAATCATACCGGCTTGCCGTACTGAGGCAGAAATCTTAGCCGCACAGATGCAGAAGGCTGTCAATCTTGGCTCACTGCGCTTGCTCAGGGCACATGATGTTCGGACCTAATGATCACTTACCACACGGTGTGGGGAGTGGTCATTGGTTGATAATGCCGGCGCGTCCTCCCGAATATATCGGTACTTCGGGGGATAGGGCCTGACCAGCGCACACTACGGTGAAAAAAATAATAATAATAACAAGCAGGAATGGTCACTAACACCCTTGACCTTTGGTGAGTCGCGCCATCACTTACCCGGGCAACTGGTGCAAAACCGGACCGGCAGCCCAGGCGGGAAAAAGAACACTATTCTCCCTCCGGTGCCGGCCGTGGATCCACAGGGCCAATCACCTGGTGGACCCAACACTTGGTTCCTAGTCTTGCCGTACTAAGGCAGAAATCTTAGCCGCACAGATGCAGAAGGCTGTCATTCTTGGCTCACTGCGTTTGCTCAGGGCACATGATTTTCGGACCTAACGATCACTTACCACACGGTGTGGGGAGTGGTCATTGGTTGATAATGCCGGCGCGCCCTCCCGAATATATCGGGGCTTCGGGGGATAGGGCCTGACCAGCGACTACGGTGAAAAAAATAATAATAATAATAACAAGCAGGAAAGGTCACTAACACCCTTGACCTTTGGTGAGTCGCGCCATCACTTACCCGAGCAACTGGTGCAAAACCGGACCGACAGCCCAGGCGGGAAAAAGAACACTATTCTCCCTCCGGTGCCGGCCGTGGATCCACAGGGCCAATCACCTGGTGGACCCAACACTTGGTTCCTAGTAATCGAGGAAGAGACCCCCACAACCAACCCCCTCGACGGGGTCAGAGGCAAGGTAGTGGGGCCTATAACGATGATTTTCCTACCGATGACAACCCTGGCAATAACAACGGACGCTTTGAGTGGACGCATGAGCTAAGAAATAGCCTTCTGCATTGCTACCAGGGTAGTGAGCCCGCGCGAAGAGGGTACACGACGAGATTGCATGCTCTGTGATGTGAAACACATCCGGAGTATGCCGTCTTTTCCGTCCAAAATATTAGAAATTACGTATCCTATCTTCGGCGGCAGGGCTATATAACTCCTTTCCAGCCTGCTAATGAAGTGACAGTTCTACCACCCGTTGACACGACTGGAGAGGAGATTCGCATCATGCCACCAATGGAGTCAATCGGAAACACGCAGGGCGCTCTACAGAATTAGGCCCCTGAAGCCACAAGAACTATCTTGTTTGAATGCGGAGGTTCGTACTGTTCTAACAGAAGTGGCTGATATCTGGCAAATCAACACCGTGGACTTTCAAACGTATAGGTTCAAACGGGTCTTAAGTAATAGTTTTTCGACGTTTCGACTATGAAGCCATTTTCAGCAAATAGGATGGGGTTGTATGATTTCACGCCAAAGTCTCAATTTGACCATTCCTCAGGTCTTATCACTGGTCTCCGTAAGAGCCTTAATCTGCTTACTCCCTAGCGAGGACAAAATATGCATCAAGTCAACAAATCGTTGTGCCAAGGGAAAACCAAATTAACAAAAAGAAATCGTATTCGATAAAGGAACGTTGTACTTGCATGACAAAATTTCTTTCCTGCTAATCGACGGAATCGTTTTCAACTCTGTTTGAAATTTTCATTATCTATATTTTTATTTCTTCAGTTTGTGANCGGGCCATTTATATATAAAATAAGGCTCAATATCTACAAAGTTAGCACATGGGCCAATGAGAGAAAAATATTTTCGTGTAATTCAATGTTCATAGTGTTTCGGAATGTAAGAAGAGAAGACTAATCGAAAGAAAAAAGAAACGATAGAGTGTATCTGAAGTCTGAATGAAGTATAGTTCCATTCAGTTTTCAATCCGTTTGAGTGTTTTATGTTTGAGGGTCTTCAGTAGCCTGTTTATGGTAAAAGCTGCAGGAATACGAAAGTGACCCCACGTTTAGCAGTAAAAGACAAACTTGGCTGTCAAGTACCTTTCGCAGTTCATGTTTTAAAAGTATATACCCTGAAATCCTACAAACCATAACAAACTAACCTCAAATTAGATCATAATATGATATTTTATAATATTCCTCTAATAAATCAGTTCCTTACCAAGTTTACTTTCACCTCCATCCTTATTTTTCTTACACTTCTTCTTTGCTCTGGCGCCCCAGTAAGTGTAATTTACAGCTGCATATTCCAAAAGAGCAGCAAATACAAATATGAAACTCATCACGAGATATATATCGATAGCTTTAACGTAGCTTATTCTCGGGAGGGAGCTTCTCACACCTGTGCTTATTGTCGTCATAGTTAATACAGTGGTTATTCCTGAAATAAAAAAAATACACAAAACATATACGGGTTCAGAGGTTTGAATTTGAGATGAATTCGAAAGTATATAAATAATGAAAATACTCCAGTTTCCTTGATAAAATCGGCCACACTTCCAAATATCAACCATACTCAAAGTTTGAATCCAACATAAGGCAGCGCTGTTTTGATCCATCACAGGTCTCATCAGTGGTGCTGAGCTGAACCATGAATGCATTGCTGGACTGAGTAGTCTTTGTAGGATAAGCCTGGGAAAGTGAAGTCAATATCATTGACTCAAGACGGTCTGTTGCAAAGTCAGAAGCTCCATTGTGGACCGTTGATCGCGATTCGCGCTCTGTCTTTCACAGCAACTTTGGAAACTAGTTGAAATCAGGGCCCAAAAACCAATCATTCGTGATCCAACACCATACGGTGCTGTTTCGACCCACCATATGTCTCATCAGTGCTAGGCTGAACGACGAATTCATTGCTGGACTGTCCTTAAAGAAGAAGCATATGGAATATAGGCGATGACATATTCCTCATGAAAACACCATCTCTATGGGATCGACAGAAGACTCAATTCACGTATATCAAAGACTACCGAGACTCCCTAAGAGGATCCGTTGGAGGGACATTCATAAGTTGACTCTGTTGTCGATCCTATAGATAGCATGAGGAGAGTCATGACCTGAATTTACATACTCAACACTGATAATTATTCGAAGCATTCCAATTTTGAATCAATGTAAACAATTTTGTGAAGAATTCACTGCACCTTTTATATTGTGAAAGTAGTAGTTTGAGTTGTGTAGTGAATGATAACCATTGATTTTTGAAAGTCATAGAAATATTCAGAAGATAGCTGTATCTTTCTTTCTCAGATCATCACCCACGACATACTTGGCGGACCTTGGCATTTCCTGGAAACATTTCACGTTTCCAGTAAGATTGAAAGTGCGACCAGGAAAAGTTTTCACCAAATACCTTCAGAAATTATTCCAAACGGTATGCCTTCTGCTGACTTTTGAATTTGATATCATTGTAATTATCTTCCAAATATATTCAAGAAAAACTGTTTCATATATTCCATTATCTGTTTTGTTTCCACATCCGATTACAAAACACATTAATTACTTTAAGTTTTCTCATCTTCATAATTTTTGGAAAATTTGGTAGTGTTCTGGATCTTTACCTAACAACTAATCCAGAAATTCACACAGTCGCCGTAAGGTCTCAATTGGGATCCTCTGACCACAAATTCATTTTAGTGTTGAGTGAATTACCGATAAATATTGGGGAACAATCTAAGCCGCGCAAAGTTTGGCATTACAGATCAGCTAAATGGGGGGATCCTCAACATCATTTCCGAAATTTCCCCTGGCTAGATGTTTGTTTCAGTTCTAAAAATCTGTCAACTTGCCTTCTAAAGTCACGGAAGTTATTCTATCATCCATGGATGCATATATTCCTTTTTCCCTTTTCAATGAAACGACCTCCTAACGGCAAATCTTGGTTCAAAAGAAATAGCGAGCAAGCTGTCGCCTCCAAAAATATCGCCTATCGGCAGTGGCGCAAAAATTCCAATACCGAAAACCGATCTAGGTTTGTAAATGCTCGCAACAGCTGCAAACTCAGGATGAATGAAAGCAAAGAACTTCACAATCATAGAATTGGGGATAATCTGCTTACCAATCCCAACGGATCTAGATCCTTTGGTAGCTAGAGCTGTTAATCAAAACTTTACAAAATTAACAAATCCACTTCTATCACAATCGGACGGTTCAATTGTGACAACAGCTATAGAAAAAGCAAATCTACAAGCTGAACAATTTACGTCCCACTCCACAGTATATTTCCTAGGAAAAGCAACACTCACTATTCCCACACCAGAATCCACGATGCCGGAAATTACTTTTCGACAGCGTCTAGTCAGGCGAATTTTGAAACAGCTCAATGTCAACAAGGCATCTGGCCCTGGTACGTCATCGTACTTAAAAATTGCGCAAATGAACTCGCACCAGTATTTTGCAGACTTTTCAACCTGTCTTACAATAAAGGGATTTTTCCTTCTTGTTGGATTCAGCCTATTCCCAAAAAGAGCAAGAGAACTCTTCCAAATAACTATAGACCAGTCGCTTTGCTATCAGTGATATCAAAAATCATGGAGAAAGCCGTAAACTACCATATCCTCAAATATTTGTAAGGCTTCAACATCTTGAGCGATCATGAAAATGGCTTTCGGAAACAAAGATCAACAGGCGACCTTCTATCGTATGTCACCCATATTTGGAATAACACATTCGAGAAACATGGAGAGTCAAAAGCTGTTGCGCTTGATAATTCTAAGATCTTTGACCGTGTGTGGCATGAGGGTTTGCTGGCCAAACTTTGATGCTATGGCCCTTTGGATCACTTTTGTGTATGGCTCTTCAGCTTCCTGAAAGAACGTTTCCTGCAAGTGGCCGTTAATAGATATCTCTCGAATACTTTCACCATCAACGCTGATGTTCCCCAGGAATCCATATTATCTCTAAACTTTTTTTTTTATTGTATATCAACGACTCATCAGAAAAAAACAAAAATACAATATATTGCTTTGCTGACGACAGCACACTTGTCTTGTCATTACATTTTGATTCCAGGACATCGACTGCGAATGCACATCTTCACCGGCAGCAATACATTGATGAGAATCTAGAAAAAAATTACCCAAGTTCAATTTAAAATGTTTCCGAACCGTATATAATAATGCCAGATCAGACAATTCCGCTTTCTGCTATGATAGGTTTGTTGGGGGTTGAAATGGCCACCAATCTGTCTTGGCATAATCATGTGGCTGGAATTGCAAAGGCTGCTCCTCAAAAGCTTGGAACACTGTTCTGAACCAGAAAATTGTACACATCTCAGCAACTTTCGATGCTTTATAAAGCTCAGATCAGACTTTCTTTGAAGTATTCTTGTCATATATAGAGCTCCTCCCCTAAAGATAACCTGGAACTGATGGATTTCATCCAGAAAAGAGTCATCCACCTGATTGGCGACGCGAACATCACTTGCAACCTTGATAGTCTAGAACATCGAAGAAAGGTTGGAGATTTGTCTCTCTTCTATAGATACTTTCACGGAAAGTGTTCAAGTGGCTTGGCACATTTGATTCCACCAAGAGCGGTACACATCAGAAATACGCGACGTACTGTGACTGCTTATCGTTTTGAGGTTCAACTCAGTACACCTCGAATTTCACTCTTTGAGAACTCTTTCAGTTGGAGAACAGCGTTTATGTGGAATAAACTTCCTGAAAACGTTTTTCCAAATGGATTTATTCTCCAGCGATTCAAATTCAATGTGAATCGCTAGTTTCGCACAGGCATTGCTCTAGTGGCGCCTTAAAGATTTTTCTGTAGTACTTGTGTTAAGTTGAAGGAGTTATTGTTTTTTTCTATTCTAGCAATTCATAGAGAAATATATTACTTCTCTACAAGGTACCATTCAAACGCTCTTCTGGCGTCTAGTTCACTTTTATTTCCAATAACGCCAACTTGGTTGGTGAAAGGAGTATGTGATAGTCCTGATGTTTGGAAGTAGAACTTGTTTTGGATTTTTGACGTTCCTAGACGATATATGAAATAATACTTCCTAGATCACATAATATTATTGAATTTGATTCACAGCCGTTTATTTTTTATAGATTTCTATTACAACTAGTGAAGTGTTCCAGGAGTATATCCAGGAAGTAGCTCAGTATGAAAAATAAACTTATAATGTCCAAATACTTCTATAGTTTTGTTTCTTTGAAAATTACAAGGCGTTTTTAACATTATTCAATTCAACTCCCTATGCCTATTATCTAAATTGAAATGATAAAGTGTAAGATAAGACTAACAATACAGGGTGAGTCAACAAGATTCCCTCGGTCCATAGCTATCAGGGAAAACAATTTTTCGTATTGCTCAATTTTTTTCGCAGTTATATTGATAAATACTATCTTTCAAAATTGGTTTCTCGCATACTGGGTGATTCAGCCAAGCGTGACCAACCAGAGTTAAATTTTTTTTGGAACACCCAGTATATGTATAAGTTATTCGTTTCCATAATTTTTTATAAATACAAGTAATTTTTGTTTTCGAATTTCCATTGTGGCATTGCCAAGTTATTCCAAAAAAACCTATTTTGCAGACAATATTTTTTTAATTCACCACCCGCTTGTCTGTATCAAGTAAGTGGATTTTTTAGGAATGATCAGTCAACATCACTATGATAATTCAACTTTTCAAAATGGGACATCCTGTATTTTTTCATTTGTATGAAATGTTTTAACATTTTTTATCAGAGCTATACTATACGAATAACTGATATTTTACAAATTATACTCAGTTTCATTAATTGTTGTAACCACAAAAAAATCATTTATTTACCTTCACTTACTCAAAATGTATTCAATATGAACAATAAGGGCTAAATTTTTTATTGAATACAGGAGTCCAAAAGATGTTCAAAATAGCGACCATTTTCTGCAACACATAATGTCATTTTTTTTAACGAATTATCCACACATTCCATCATATCCTCTGCAATTTTCCTGAAAGCTCTAGTGATTCGTCGTTTTATGTTCTCTATATATGTTGGGACGCGAACATCACTTGCAACCTTGATAGTCTAGAACATCGAAGAAAGGTTGGAGATTTGTCTCTCTTCTATAGATACTTTCACGGAAAGTGTTCAAGTGGCTTGGCACATTTGATTCCACCAAGAGCGGTACACATCAGAAATACGCGACGTACTGTGACTGCTTATCGTTTTGAGGTTCAACTCAGTACACCTCGAATTTCACTCTTTGAGAACTCTTTCAGTTGGAGAACAGCGTTTATGTGGAATAAACTTCCTGAAAACGTTTTTCCAAATGGATTTATTCTCCAGCGATTCAAATTCAATGTGAATCGCTAGTTTCGCACAGGCATTGCTCTAGTGGCGCCTTAAAGATTTTTCTGTAGTACTTGTGTTAAGTTGAAGGAGTTATTGTTTTTTTCTATTCTAGCAATTCATAGAGAAATATATTACTTCTCTACAAGGTACCATTCAAACGCTCTTCTGGCGTCTAGTTCACTTTTATTTCCAATAACGCCAACTTGGTTGGTGAAAGGAGTATGTGATAGTCCTGATGTTTGGAAGTAGAACTTGTTTTGGATTTTTGACGTTCCTAGACGATATATGAAATAATACTTCCTAGATCACATAATATTATTGAATTTGATTCACAGCCGTTTATTTTTTATAGATTTCTATTACAACTAGTGAAGTGTTCCAGGAGTATATCCAGGAAGTAGCTCAGTATGAAAAATAAACTTATAATGTCCAAATACTTCTATAGTTTTGTTTCTTTGAAAATTACAAGGCGTTTTTAACATTATTCAATTCAACTCCCTATGCCTATTATCTAAATTGAAATGATAAAGTGTAAGATAAGACTAACAATACAGGGTGAGTCAACAAGATTCCCTCGGTCCATAGCTATCAGGGAGAACAATTTTTCGTATTGCTCAATTTTTTTCGCAGTTATATTGATAAATACTATCTTTCAAAATTGGTTTCTCGCATACTGGGTGATTCAGCCAAGCGTGACCAACCAGAGTTAAATTTTTTTTGGAACACCCAGTATATGTATAAGTTATTCGTTTCCATAATTTTTTATAAATACAAGTAATTTTTGTTTTCGAATTTCCATTGTGGCATTGCCAAGTTATTCCAAAAAAACCTATTTTGCAGACAATATTTTTTTAATTCACCACCCGCTTGTCTGTATCAAGTAAGTGGATTTTTTAGGAATGATCAGTCAACATCACTATGATAATTCAACTTTTCAAAATGGGACATCCTGTATTTTTTCATTTGTATGAAATGTTTTAACATTTTTTATCAGAGCTATACTATACGAATAACTGATATTTTACAAATTATACTCAGTTTCATTAATTGTTGTAACCACAAAAAAATCATTTATTTACCTTCACTTACTCAAAATGTATTCAATATGAACAATAAGGGCTAAATTTTTTATTGAATACAGGAGTCCAAAAGATGTTCAAAATAGCGACCATTTTCTGCAACACATAATGTCATTTTTTTTAACGAATTATCCACACATTCCATCATATCCTCTGCAATTTTCCTGAAAGCTCTAGTGATTCGTCGTTTTATGTTCTCTATATATGTTGGAGGAGTTTGGTAGACAATCCATCTGATATACCCTTATAAAAAATCCATTTTGGTCAGGTCAGGTGATCTGGGTTGCCACGCCACGAGCCCACCCCTACCTATCCATTTTTGATTGAAATGATCGTTGAAGTATTCCAATGCCTCAGTATTAAAATGCGGTGGTGCGCCGTCTTGTTATAGTCACGTTCTAAGTCTTGTTCCATATGAAACCCTGGCCAATAAATTCGAAAACTCATGCCGAAAAATCCTACATATTTTCTTACAGTGAGATGTCTATCCAAAAAATACGGATCGATAACTATTTTTCCGAGAATTGCACCCCAAACATTCAGTGACCAACGTTGTTCATGGTTCAGGCAATGAACAAAATGGTGCTTTTCCGTTGCATAATAATGCATGTTATGCTGATTCACAGTTCCATTTTTATGAAAAATCGCTTCATCAGAAAATAACACGAAATCTAAACAATCATTTTTCTGATTGATCTTTTCTAAGCCCCATCGGCAATATTGAACACGTTTTTTAAAATCTCTTGTTCTTTACTTCTGCATCAATTGCATGTGGTAAAGATGAAATTTGCTCGTATCATTCGAGACATGCTGGTTTGAGAAAATCCTAATTCCCTGCTCAGGTCTCGGGTACTCACATGGGGATTTTCAACAAAGTGAAGAGCATTTTGAAATGTATTCTCTTCATTTGTTACAGGGCAGACACGTTTGAACTTTTCGTTATTGACATTACCAGTTCTTTCAAATGTTGTTTTAGAGTCTGAAATGCCCTTCGATCTGATTGTCTTCTTTCGGGGAACTTCTCCTTGTAAATCCTAGATGCAATTTCAATTTCCCCCAAAGCATATATACCATTTGCACCATATCTTCCAATACATAATTCCTAATGGAAATTATTCAATCTACACGTGAAAGAAACTTCAACACATGGTGTTTTTGACAAAAAGCAGTGTAAATATTTTTTAGATTTTTTACGCATTTCTTACCGTTGAAACCGCTGACAACTATCACTAGATGGTATGAAAAATGCTAATGTACTAGCGATTAGTTTGAATATTCGTAAAACAAATTTGAGTAAGTGAACATGAGGAATTACATTTTTTTGTGGTTACAACAATTACTAGAACTTAGTATAATTTGTAAAATATCAGTGTTGCATATAGCATACTACATAAAAAATGTAGTGAAATGTTGAAACATTTCATACAAATGAAAAAATACACGGTGTTCTGTTTGAAAATGAATGGAACTTGACCGGTTTTACCGAGCACCCTATATATTGCTTGGCAATGTCGCAATGGAAATTCGAAAACAAAAATTTTTAAGAGAGCTAGAAAATTTGGAATCGAATAACGTATTCATATACTGGGTGTTCCATTAAAAAATATAACTTTGGTTGGCCACGCTCAGCTCAATCACCCAGTATGGGAGAAAATAATTTTGAAAGATAGTATTTATCGATATTACTGCGAAACAAATTTGAGCAATTCGAAAAATTGTTTTCCCTGATAGCAATGGACCGAGGGAATCTTGTTGACACACGCTGTATGCAAATTGAAATGTCAAAGTGTAAGAATAGACCAACAATAATTTTTGTATCCATACAAAATGTATTTCTTCTTCATCAATTTTTTGCCAAAAATTAAACACAAAGCATTCAAAACATTTTTGTATTAGTAAAACAACAACCATGAAATAATTATCGTGTATGTTTGTAGGAAACTCTAGATGATAAAAATATTTTCGGAAAGTGTAGTCTCACAAGTCATCAGAATCTTTTCACGTTCACAAATGAAAACGAAAAAATAGTTTGGAACGTTAAATTCTGAAAGAAACTTGTCCTTCCTGTGGAAGATATGATCATTTCCCGAAAAACAGTATCCGACAAACAACAAACACTCACCTAACGCAACCCTAGCACTTGTGGCTTCGTGATTGATCCAGAAGGAAACCCAAGACAACATCACTATGAGAATGCTTGGAAGGTACGTTTGGAAAATGAAATATCCGATATTCCTCTGGAGCTTGAACGAAAGGGATAGCCGCTGATAAATGCCGGTGGCTAATCGTTCCTTCCTATCGTTCGTTTCCCAGCCTATAATGGTGAATTGAGGCAATTCGGCTTCTTCCACTCCACGGACGGGCGTCGCTTTCCAGTACATTACCACGTCTGTCACTGTGTAACCGTCTATCAAAAAAATACATTGAAATTTCAATGTGATCAACAATAAATATTTTAGGATATGTATTTTCCCAAATCTTATCGATTTGGGAAAAATCATAAACTTCGCATATTCGATGATAACTAATGTAGTTAGTTTTCACGCATTGAAAATAGGGAGAGTTCAGAGTTTGCTACTAATGGAAATTTTCAGATAATCTGTTTTGATTTTTTTTCTTGTAAAAATTCTGCATCATGTGACTTGAAGAAAGAACTTTCCATACAAAAGGAGGTATGAGAGTTGCTTAAAATAGGACTATTTGTTTTTGAATGGTAATCAATANAAACGAGTCCAACTAACCAGTTTACTAAAAGATTATTTAGCTGTTTTTCAACAAGGTCCAAAAGTTGATGGTGATCATTGTTACTTTCTTTGTGTAGGTGTCTTTTTCGATGTGAGTAATAAGGTGCAGCTGATGAATGACGTTAATTGAAGTGAATTATACGCTGTATTGTGAAAAATCAGTGTATTCCAGAAAAAACTGAATATTTTTCATGGGCCAAAATAGGAAAATTTTGTGAAATCAATAACAGAAACACAGAAAGATCCCATGTCACAGAGAAGAAAACTGTTGTTGTTTAGTCGACGTCCGTCCTCTCTGTAGATAATTTCAAACACCTATAATTCGTTTTTCACATATAGTCAGTGCGCATACTTGAAGACTGGCTATAAATCAAATCATCTGAAGAAACAATTCGTTCAGGCCAGTCTCAACTCCCTACACCGTAGGTTGATAGACTGACACCTATCAGAAAACAACTACTCTCCCGGCTAATACCACGAAGGGCGTTGGAGTATATTCGTCAGGTGTCAGTGCAGGATTCTTCACTGAAGTTATTCCTGCATATGCTGTTGGCGAGTTGAGACTGGCCAGAACGAATTGTTCCTTTAGATTATTTGATTTATAGCCAGTCTTCAAGTATGTCTTCAAATGGGGCGATGACAAACCTGTTGTTTGTTGTCCGCTTCAGCCTAGGAAGGAACTCGACTCATTTATTGAAAATCATCGACTTCATGTTGATGATAGACACTACCTTGCACTGACGAGTGGCCAAACAACCCGAAACCGGTCTGCAAGTGTGTTTCAATAATTGAGAATCTATTGTGGCAGTTGTATCGCCAACAGCATATAACTACCGTACTACCGTACGTAGTAATACAGCACTCAGAAGGCCGCGTTATGTCGATGAATATAGGCTAAGACCACATATGTTGGACATGCTGACAGCAAGTGCATCAGACCCTGCACCTTGTGTCAGAAACCCCTTTACCCATCACGCTACTGCGGTAAACTGAGGTGTTCAAGACATCATCCGAATTCAGCCCACTCGACCTGAGCAAAGGTCAAGCGTTTTGTTAAGCCAAGGTCTTCAATGTAGTTGGCTAATTCTCTTGTTGCCACCTGGAGTATTGAAGTTATCTCTGCGGCTTTTTGCTGAAGGGGTTCCAACTCGGTGACAGAGTTATGATCACCTCGTTCAGTGTTGAAAACTAAACAGCTGCTCGGAGAGCTGCTCTAAAGAGAAGTTTAGGGTCTTCACGTCGAGTTGTTACAGTTCCTTCCTAGTATATTCTACCACTCCAAATGAGTAGACTAAGATTGAAATGGCAACCATGTTCGTTGCAGCAACCTTGTTCTTTCCCGATAGTTTCGATAACCAGATCTATCGGAGTTTGTGCTGTTACTG